CTCTTCCCCAAGCCTGGAGCGTTGCATGGGGTTGTTGTGACCCAAGTGCAGGACCTGGCACTTGGCCTTGTTGAACCTCACACAGTTGGCCTCAGCCTCAGCCCATCGATCCCAGCCTGTCCAGATCCCTCTGCAGAGCCTTCCTACCCTTGAGCAGATCGACACTCCCAGCCCGCTTGGTGTCATCTGCAGACTTACTGAGGGAGCACTCGATCCCCTCATCCAGATCATTGATACAGATGCTGAACAAGACCAGACCCAAAACTGAGCCCTGGGGAACACCACTCATGACCGGACACCAGCTGGAGTTGACTCTATTCACCACCACTTTCTGTGCTCGGCCATCCAGCCAGTTTTTTACCCAGTGAAGAGCACACCCACCCAGACCATGGGCAGCGAGCTTTCCTGTTGCAGATCAAGTTGCAACTGCACAGTCCGTTCTAAGCATCAAACCACCGAAAGCTATTAGCTTCTTTTTGGAAGAAATAATTCCCAATTAGTAATTTACAGCCTGGGTCGTGGTGAATTACACACCCATTTGGAGAGACTGGAGTAAACCGGTATTTGCAGCAGGAAACTACAATAAAGCAAATTTCCTATCTGTAAATCATGTTTCTGCTAATCTAACACACACATGCTCTCTGCTTCTCCCTACTCAGCACACACAGGGTGAACAAATACCTCTTTGTTAATATAAAATTTATCGCTTCACTAAGTTCCTTAGCAGGGAACAACAGAAAAGATTGGAATTAGTAAGTAACTGGGTTAACCAAATGAAAGCGAAAGCTTTCGAACTACATTTCTGGAACAGCACCCAAATTAACAGCAGGAACATGTTCTGTTAGTCATCCCCAAGCATCATTTCCTCCAGGTTGTAACATATGGGCTCTGACTAAGACTACAAAAGTTATACAAGCAAGAGACCGGCTTTCACCTGAGTCTTTAGAAGATTTCTAAGAAAGATTAACAACTGAGGTCAGGTTTCTTGCCTACTTATTTGTGTGGAGTTAACAGATTGAGGAATAAACTACATCCTCAGCCCATGAAGAAAGAGCGTCAAATGAAAAAAAAGACAGACCCCTTCTTTTTTTTTTTTTTTTTCTTTACACAGCAACACCAATAACCATGTAAAAGCAGGGTTTGAAGCACAGCTGTTGGCAAACTAGAACGTTGTGCTGCT